GACCCAAGAGCCAGGGCTTTTGATCTCTTCCCTGTGGCCAGGGAGGGCACCAGCCCTGGGCAAGGAGTTGCATTTCACAGCCCAGGAAATGGAGGGTACCTGGTCTGGCTGCTCTCTGCCCTGCACACACAGTCCCCCTGTCTCTTGTGACTGGGACCTTGGGAGGCTGGAGTGGCCTTGGGAAAGACACAGAATGTCCCAGGCTTCCAGTGCCAGCTGTGTGAGTCACACCCACATCTCCAGGAGGTTGGAGCCTGGCTACTATTCAGGGAGCCACAGCGACACCCTGTGGTCACAGTGGACGTACGAATGCAGATTCCCCTGCCAGCCTGGGCTTGGTTTGTTGTTGTTGTTGCTTCTATGGGGACTGCACAACCTGGGCTGGTCAGCTTGGCCCTGATGCTGATTTTGGAGGGTGAAGCTGGTCTACAGGGCCCCATGAGGGTTGGAGATCCAAAAGACAATGGCCACCACTGGAGTGTCAGGCTGCCCCAATTAAAACGCTGATCCCACTTTTGCTATGTCATGGGCCGGATTTCCTTGAACCTCAGAAACAAGGACTTAACTCATTTCCAGACCCAGTGGTGGAGCTGGATTTGCACTTGGGTGATAGCTCTCAGCCCGTGTTCTCTCCCCAGAACTAGGGGACAGAGCTAGTCATCTGCTCCTGGGTTTTGGCCACGTGAGGTACTGGGGGATGGGGCAGTGGCTGAGTGGCCTCAGGGTGTTCATTTCTGAACATGGGGCAGACGGTAGGGGGGAAGTATGAAATGGGGCACCCATCCTCTGGAGCCCACAGACTGCGGGAAAGGGAAACAAAGGCACAGGTCAGATGGACCTCTGCAGTGACAGACTTGGGAGGAGACCAGAGGGGCCACAAGCACCACATGCAGGGAACCTGGCGAGGGGCCTGTCCCCACGGTCCCCTCCATCTGTCCTCCTCTGTGGCTTTGAGTGAATGTCCCTGTGTGCCTCTTGGGCTACTTTGCTTCTGCAAGAGAACCCCTGAGGGTGTCCTGCTGTCTCCCTGCCCCCGCCCCTGCCCCCCTCGTCCCACCCCAATGGCGCCTCCCCAAGGAAGCCATCTGGTACCCACTTGCTTGCAGCATGGAAGTGGAAGGCAGCTGCCTCTTGAGTTCTGACTTCTGTGTGTGTGTGTGTGTGTGCCAATGCTGGGGCTTAAACTCAGAGCCAAGGCACTGTCCCTTAGCTTTTTTGCTCAAGACTGACACTCTACCTCTTGAGCCACAGCTCTACTTCTGGCTTTTTGGTAGTTAATTAGAGATGAGTCGCACAGACTTTTCTGCCCTGGACTGGCTTTGCACCTGGATCCTTAGATCTCAGCCATGCTGAGTAGCTAGGATTGTAGGGGTGAGCAACTGGCTGGCTCCTGTCCTTACAGCTGCATGGTGCTGGTCTTGCTCAGGCTCCTTGAAGGGTGTCTTGGGAAGGTAGCCTAGTATTCTTGGTTCCTTTTCCATTGACCTTCACTTCCCTAAGAAACCTGAGGGGCCCGACTCTCCAGGGACCTCCTGTCACCCCAGTGAGGACAAATTTTCTCACCGTTCATATCTGGGCTTTCTTGCCTGACAGAAAAAGACTGGACAGAGGAGGACTGGGGTCGGGAGAAGGTGCTGATGCAGGAGATTGTGACCCTCATTGAGCAACGCAATGCCATCATCAACTGCCTGGACGAGGACCGGCAGAGGTGCTGGGTTGGGGTTCGGTGGGTGGGGCAGCTCCTTGGTACCAGCTGGGCACAGCCCCACACCCTGGGGCTGGAAGGAGTTCAGGGGACCTCACCCTCCTATGGGTACTCAGGTGTCCCTTGCTCACTTCAGGGAAGAAGAGGAAGACAAGATGGTGGCAGCCATGATGAAGAAGAAAGGTGAGACCCGGCTGGCTGGGCAGTCCATGTTGGGTTCTCATTTACCCAGAGCACACAATGTGGGATCCAGGGGTCCCACGTTGGGCTGACAGTTGTGGGTCCCTGGTTCTTTCCAAAACACTGGGAGAGGCTGGTCTCCGCATCCTGGGGAGCAAAGTGGGACTTGGACTAGTGGACTGATTAGTCCCAAGTTTTCTATAGGGGTGAGTGGCTGGGCCCCCCTTGGCCTCCCCGATGACCCCTCCTTTCTGGTTAAGCGTTCCCCTTTCTCTGCTGCAGAGTTCCAGAAGGAGGCTGAACCTGAGGGCAAGAAGAAGGGGAAGTTCAAGAGCATGAAGATGCTGAGGCTGCTGGGAAATAAGCGCGATGCCAAGAGCAAGTCTCCCCGGGACAAGAGCTGACAGCAAGAGGAGCCGTGTGGCTGCCCCCGCTGGCTGCCCGCTGGCTGCCCGCTGGCTGCCCGCTCCTGGAGCCCCAAGGGCTGGAGAAACCTCCTACCCTCCAATCCACAGAGGGAGTCGGGGTGAGCCCTGCCCGCCCTGGGGTCCTCTGACTTACCTGGGCCAAAGAGTTTCCTTCCTTCTTCTCTGCATCCCAAACAGCTGTGACTCAGCCGTGTCCGGTCCAATTCTGACCATTTCAGATGCTGTGAGAGACACACAAGGCAAGCAGGGACCTGGGGACAAGGAAGGGACAGAGACTGAGCAGGTTATGTCCCCTTGGTGCAAGCTCCCTGGCCAGTCTCCTCCCTTCTGGACCAGGCCAGATGGAAGCTTTGCTGTCAGAGTTCTGCCCAGGTTTGGACTCCACCTGGGGCTCCTGGCCTGGGGCCGTTTCTGCCCCCAGGTGGCTCCTTCCTACCCAGTCCACCTGATTCTCTGTCTTCCCATGCACTGCCTCATCTCTCGTGTTCCCTCGATCAGTTGCTCTATTTATGATGTCTTCAGCTCCTGGTTTCTGGGTGGTCTGTGCTGTCAGACCTGAATGGCAAATCCCACCTCCCCTCCCTCAGAGTTCTAGAAGCTTTTTCTCTCACTCACTCTGTTCTATAGGAAGCCTCGCATTCCCCCTCCCCTCTCCCCACACACAGAGGGCCCTCGATAATGCACCAGGGCAGGTGGGTGCCAACATTAGCTGCTTCTGTGCCAAGTCCCCTGGCAGGGAAGTTCTTGGCTCCACTGTCAGCCTAGGGAAGGGGCACTTCAGGAAGGTGCTAACCATGGTTCTCAGTCACGTTGTAGCCTGACCCCTGATTTTGGCTTTCCTCTTCTATCCCACACCCAAGGATGGGGCCCATACCTGCCTCTGGTCCTTACGAGTCAGCCTCTTCTGGTACTCTTCCCTCCCGATTTCCACCTGAGGGACTGATGGTTACCACCTTCTGGATCGTTGTGGGACAGGAGGAGTGCTACAGACAGTTTTGTTTTGTCTTTGTGGGTTTTTTTGTTTTTTGGTAGGTCGTGAGGCTTGAACTCAGGGCCTTGAGCTCTTTTGCTCAAGGCCAGTGCTTATGACTTTGAGCCCACAGCACCACTTCCGATTTTCTGATGGAGATGAGGCTCATGAACTTTCCTGCCCAGGCTGGCTTTGAACCATGATCCTTAGATCTCAGCCTCCTGAGTAGCTAAGGATTACAGGCATGAGCCACCAGTGCCCTGCTTTTTGTTTTGTTTTGTCCAGGCAGCTCTTGGTCAAAGCACTGTTCTATAAGCTGCTGGGGGTCCCCCCTGCGCTCTTCTTCCATGCGTCTTGGGAGAAAAGATAGCACTGTGTTAACTCTAGGGTGCTCTTTGCCAACAATAAATGGACATAATTTTGTTTCTGCCCTGAAGCCTTGGGCATAGCCGTGTCTGCCTTCTTGCCTGCCATTGCCACACTTTGTGTCCAGCCTGTGGTTGCTGAGGGTTGCCTGGCACTGGGCAGGGTTCTCTTCCTCTGCAGGGACAGCCAGCTCCTGGCACCTGATCTGGAGCGGGGCTGCCACCTCCAAGGCCCTTTGGGGCAGGCAGCTGGCCTGAATGGCTCCTCAGGCTGGGTGTCAGGTCCCATCCTTCAAGGGGACCTTGACACCCACTTAACATGGGCTATAGCCCGCAAGTCCAGGGCTGCCAGATCTTTCCCCTTTTTCAAAAGCAACTGAGGAATCCAGACTTTGTATATGAAACTTGTGAATGTATACCTAATCTGGTCAGGAATGGATTGAATCTGTTCTGGTCTCCAATTTGGGGCAGTGTGGAGGACGTCCCTGTCATACCTCGGACAGTGACATGGGCTTCCTGTGGGATATTCTCAGTCAGCCTTACATAGTTGACGGCTGTATAAACCAAAACCTGGGTCATGTGATCTGATGGGATCATGTGGTACCCTGCAGGTACAGGAGATTGCCCTCAGCATTGGCTGATATATCCAAAATATTTTGGTGATTTGTGGGGACAGGAAGATGAGAGCCCTGGAGAAGATTGGGCTAGGAGTGGCGGAAGCCTGAGGGGCGGGTACTAGCCCTGAAGTACTCTGTGGCAGGCTCGGCATGGGCTGCTTTCTTGTCAATCGCTCCTCAGCCTCTCAGAAGCATAACCCAGCATGGAGGCTGTGGGTTTGGAGTTTTTCAGAGGTTAAGGTTGAGGTCATGTAGTACATAGTGAGGCTGGAACGCCAAAGCTGGGACCACTCAAGTACGGGCCCTGTCCACCCCTTCATTTCTTGTCTGCTTTATGGAAGACTAAACTAAGCTTTAATCTGAGTAGGCTGTTTGCTGCTTAAGTGCCCTTGGTTGTATGAACCAGGCCCACTGTCTACTGAAGTTCAGTGCCCGCTATCGTTGCTGCCATGGAGGGCTCGAAAGAGCCTGGGTCCCATTTTCTCTTTTTGTGCCAGAACTGGCACTTGAACTCAGGGCCTGAGTGCTGTCCCTGAGCTTTTTTGCTCAAGGCTAATTACTCTACCACTTGAATCTTCCAGCTTTCTGGTGGTTAATTAAAGATAAGAGTCTCATGGACTTTCCTGTTGAACTGGCTTTGAACTGTGATTCTCAGATCTCAGCCTCCTGAGTAGTTCCAATTATAGGCATGAGCCACTGGTGCTTGGCTTGTGTGTGTGTGTGTGTACATGCATGTGTGCATGCATGTACACACCTGTACAGAGCTTGGACACTCAAGGCTGGTGCTCCAGCTTTCTGGTGGCTAACCGGAGTCTCACGATTTTCTTTCCATCCAGCACCTGTTGGATGGAAATCATATGTTCTTGACAAGTTCTAAATAATTTTCCCTCTGAAAGCAGGGAGTTGCATGTGGAGACCCCCAAGTTAAATGTGTTTTATTAAGGCCAATTAATCCTTGCAGAGGCTACAAAAAGTCAAATAAATAATAGGTCCTAAGACAGCAGATGGAAGGAGTCCTCTTCATTCCTAAGTTCGGAAAGGCCACAAACGGGATCCCCAGAGGCTGCGGAGGTGGGTGGTGGGTGGGAGGGACCGCTGGGTGGCCTTGCAGCATGTCCGGGATGGGTGAGGCTTGGGCCTTGCCTTCACTGGATCTGGGCGCTCACCCTAGAAAAGATTCCAGCATTCCAAGTCTGTGTCTGACTGTGGGTGCCAAACATCCCTGGAGGGTCGAGGGAGCCCCTTGGCTTCTGTACATCAAGGAAGTGGCACACCACCAGCTGACATGGCTGGAGGCCGGTGTGGGTGGGATCCTGTGGCCAGGCTGCGCTGGCCTGCTCATCTTACGTGGAGGCTAGAACCTTGCTAAGTTCCTTGCTCCTCTTGCGGTCAATGTCTTCCATCTCCCGGAGTTTCTGTAAGGGGAAACTGGGGTCAGCTGGCTCAGGGTCCTGCCATCCTGGCCCCCCCCTCCTGGGGTACCCCCCCTTTTCCCCACTTTCTGGCTGCTGCTCCTACCTGGGAGATCTCAGCGAGGATGAGCCCTCGGTATTGCTTGCCCTGCCCCAGGGCCTCCATGGCAGTCAGGAATTCTTTCCTGTCCTGGATCTCCTTCACCACTGCACAGAGGGAAATGGGCGTCAGTGTCCAGGCAAATGGGACCCCAGGCTCCATGAGCTGCGCGGGCTAGTGCAGTGCCTCACAGTGGTTCTTGATTTGTAGTTATTTTTGTGCTGGTTCTGGTTTGACCTCAGGGCCTAGGTGCTGTCTCTAAGCTTTTTCACTCAAGGTCTGTGCTCTACCACTTGAGTTACAGCTCCACTTTTGGCCCTTTGCTGATTAATTGGAGATAAGAGTTTCATGGACTTTCCCACCCATGCTGGCCTTGGCCTCGCTGTGGTTTTGTGTGAAGTGATGTTGCTCTCTTGGTCCCATCTGACTCTGCACCCTCCTCCCCCAGCTGGCTTACGTTCTTCAAACCGGTCCACCTCCGGGCCTGGGTCCTGCTGCTGCACAGGGGGTTCCTTCTTTTTCCGTTCCTCTTGGTCCTTCCCAGTAGCGAAGATGTTTTGGAGCCTTCGTTTCTCCTTGTCCAGATCTCCTGTCGGGCCCAGAAATGGCCTTGTTAAGGTGCAAATAGCACCCTTCTCCAGAATGTTTGCAATGGGCATGCGCATTGCAGGGTGTCTGGGTCATGTGGAGAGGGCCTCTGCACACCCAGCCTCTTCTCCCCTGGCTGACTCTGAGCTTGTCATGTCAAGACAGTGCTTGAAAGAACCGAAGAGGTGCTGAGAAGGTGGCTCCGTGGTAGAGCGCTTGCCTTGCATGCATGAGGCCCTGGGCTCCATTCCTCAGCACCACATAAACAGAAAAGGCTGGAAGTAGGGCTGAGGCTCAAGTGGTAGAGCGCGAGCCTTGAGCTGAAGAGCTGAGGGACAGTGCCCAGGCCCAGAGTTCATGCCCCATGACAGAAAGAAAGAAAGAAAGAAAGAAAGAAAGAAAGAAAGAAAGAAAGAAAGAAAGAAAGAAAGAAAGAAAGAAAGAAAGAAAGAAAGGAAAGAAGAAAGAAAGGAAGGAAGGAAGAAGAAAAGAAATAAGAAAGAAAGGAAAGAACCAAGAAGAGCCGGGTGCCAGTGGCTCACACCTGTAATCCTAGTTACTCAGGAGGCTGAGATCTGAGGATCACAGTTCAAAGCCAGCCCAGGCAGGAAAGTCCATGAGACTCTTAACCTCCAATAAACCACCAGAAAACCAGAAGTGGCGCTGTGACTCAAGAGGTAGAGCATGACCCTTGAGCTGAAGAGCTCAGGGACAAAGCCCAGACCCAGATTTCAAGCCCCACAACCGACAAAAAAAAAAAAAAAAGAACCAAGAGGTTTGCCAAAATCTACACACTTTGGAGCAGAGCAAGGCTAAGGAAACTCAGGAACCTTGGCCTCCTCAGCCTGTTAACAGTATGGGGAGCTTGGGGGTGCTGCCTGGGGCCAGGCAGGAACAGGGCGAAGGACCTGGGAGGCAGCTGGAGCACAGCCACCTCCTAATCTCAGGGATTAGGAGAACACAGTTAATTAAAAAAAAAAGGGGGGGGGTGGGAAGGTGGCTCAGAGGTACAGCGCTTGCTTTGCATGCATAAGGCCCTGGGTTCGATTCCTCAGCACCACATAAGCAAACAGAAAAAAACCGGAAGTGGCGCTGTGGCTCAAGTGGTAGAGCGCTAGCCTTGAGCTGAGCTGAGGGACAGCGCCCAGGCCTAGAGTTCAGGCCCCATGACCAGACCCCCCCCCAAAAAAAAAAAATAAAGGAATTTGGGGATGTGTGTGTCTGTGGGGGATGGGGTTTGGGGGGGGGGGGGATCTGAGGTTTGAACTCAGGGCCTGGGCACTGTCCTTGAACTTTCTCACTCGAGGCTGGTGCTCTATCACTTGAGCTACTACCTCACTTTTCGCTTTTTTGCTGGTTAATTGGGAGATTAGAGTCTCATGCACATTCCTCCGCTGGCTGCTTGGACCGTGATCCTCAGATCTCAGCCTCCTGAGGAGCTAGGATGACAGGAGTGGGCCACTGGCACCCAACTCTGGGGGACAAAAAACCCAAAAACAAACAAACAGAAAACATTTAAGAGGGTAAGGGACCACCTGTGTTTGTTTTTGTTTTCTTCTTTTGTTGTGAGACCAGGATTCAGTCTCAGTACCTGACACTTTGCTCATTGGCTGGTGCTCTACCAACTGAGCCTTGCCTCCAACCCTGACCTGTTTTCTCCTGTACTCTCCACAGCCCCTCCCCCATGCTAACATGTGCAAAGGCTCAAAAGCATTTGTATAAGGCATTTGATTAGACAGCAGGTGACCTGCCCTGGGGGCTGCTTGTCTCTGGCCCCCTACATCTCCAGAGGACTGAAGGGAGTGCCTAGCTGGTGCTCTGTCACTTACTTGTGGCTCGAGGCTTGAACTGCTCCCTGTTGTAGGCCCCGTTGGCCTGGCACACACTGGCGGGCCGGAGGCCAGAGCGGGCGGTCAGGATGGGGGGCAGATGGCTGGAGGTGGGCTGCTTGACAGAGCATCTTCTTGGGCTGGAAGTCGGGTTGCATTGTAGGGGCAAAGGGTCTCCTCCTGGGGACAGAAGGGTGGGGTAGGAGAATCTGCCTGGCTTCCCTCACCCCCAAGTAAAAGGGAGTTGCTGCGCTCACTTGGGCAGCACATACACTTCAACTGGAACATACAGAGAAGATTGGCATGGCCCCTGCACAACGAAGACATGCAAAGTCATGAAGCATTCTATATTTAAAAAAAAGCAAGTTGTCTGTGATCCTAAGTCAAATGGATGAAGCCCTCCAAGCCCATCCCTCTCCTCCAAGCAATGGAAACACGGCTAGTCTTTCCTTACTTCCTGACACTCAGACAAACGTATTCCGAGATACGTGTGCATATATTTTATATGTGCATATAAGATTCTGTTTGCAAACACTGGATCAGATTGTGTTGCAGCCAATAACTTTTCACTTAACAATTTTTCATTTTTCCAGAAAACCCTGTTTCTATGTAAGTTATTTGCTATCTATCTTAGAGGGGTTACATTATTTATTTAGCTGGTCTCCTAGTTTCAGACATTCAGAATTTGCAATGGTTTTGTTGATGCTTTTTTTTTTACTACTTCAAATAATGCTGCAATAAACATTCTTGTACAGCAATCCACTCATGTACTGGAGGTTTTCTTTGTTTTTGTGCTGCTTGGTGCCCTGGGGGGGGGGGGGGGGGAGGGAGGAAGGAGATGATTAGGCTACTCTTGATACCCATGGCTCCTTCCCCACACCAGCTAAGTGTGCCCTCTCCTGTTGGCCCATTCTCCTTGCCTTCATGCCCAGCATAGAGCAGGCCTCACCCCTTGCTTGGATCTGGCTCCTTTCTACCTCTCTAGCTTTCCATATCATGGAATGTAGACACAGTACGCATTCTGGGACTTTGTCTTCTGAGCCCCTGGAGGAGCTGGGGGCGGGGGGCGGGGAGACACTGAGAGGTATGTATGATATGACCTTGGCATAAGTAACTTGTTTGGCGGCTGGGGCACTGAGGGGTATGGTGGAATTGCAGTTTAGTATCCCAGCCCCGAGAAGTACCGGGAGTTTGAATTCAGGGCTTTGTGCTTGCTAGGCTGGCACCATACTGCTGAGCCACACCACCAGCCCTGTTCTTTTTAATTATTAATTTATTGTTATTATAGAAATGATGTACAGAGGGATTCTGATTACATGTCAGGTAATGAGTACGTTTCCTTTCATACAGTGTCTTCTGTTTTTTACTGATTGTTTTTAGGAAAAGTCTTGCTTTCTACCTGGGCTTATGCCTGAGCCTCAATCTGCCTAACAACACCGTATCCAGTTTTTCTTTCTTTTTTTTTTTTTTTTTGTCAGGTGTGGAGCTTGAACTCGGGGCCTAGGTGTTGTTCTGGTGTCTTTTTGCTCAAGGCTAACCTTACTACTTTTTTTTTGGGGGTCCGGTCGTGGGACCTGAACTCTGGGCCAGAGCGCTGTCCCTCAGCTCTTCAGCTCAAGGCTAGCGCTCTACCACTTGAGCCACAGCGCCACTTCCGGCTTTTTTCTTTTTGCTTATGTGGTGCTGAGGAATCGAACCCAGGGCCTTAGGCATGTAAGGCAAGCGCTCTACCACTGAGCCACTACCCAGCCCAACATTACTACTTTTAGCCACAGTGCCACTTCTATTTTTCTGATAGCTAATTGGAGATAGGAGTCTTCCCTGGCTGGCTTTGAATAATGATCCTCAGATCTCAGCCTCCTAAGTAGCTAGGATTATAGGCATGAGCCACTAGCACATTGTTTTAGTTTTTTTTGTTTTTGTTTTAATTGATTAATCTTGTGTCCTTTTCTGGTCTGGAACTGTAATCCTCCCAACTGCAGCTTTCCACAGAGCTTGAGCTGATAGGTAAGTATCCTTACACACAGCTATGAGTATAAAAAAAGGCTTCAAGAATGTTTCTGCCCAGGCTGGCCTCAAACTGCAAATCCTCTCATTCTCAGCCTCCCAGGGGTAGCTAAGATTACTGGTGTGAGTCACTGGCACTGGTTGGATGCGCAGTTTTAAGAGTGGCCAGGAATAGAAGGCCTCATGAAGAGGGTAACATTGAAGAAAAGACCAGCGAAGATGAGGACAATGGTGCTGCAGATATTGTGGGGAAAAACATTCCAGGTGGAGGGAAAAGATGATGAGATAGAGTACCCCCTGTGTCTAAGGCACAGCCAAGAGTCTAAGGTAGCAGGAAGGGGGCGAAAGGGGAGGTCAGAGGTTACACGGCCTCTGGAAAGGTCCTTTTACCCTGTGGTGTGGAAAAGTCATGGCAGGGCTGTGAGGGGAAGCCTGGCCCTTCTCAGTGGCTGCTGAAGGTCCAGTGCACAGCCAAGGGCAGATTGAGGTCACCAGCAGTGAGAGTGCTCAGGTAACATAGCATGATAATCCAGCCCCGGGCCCCGTGGTAGCCCAGAAGGTGAAGGTGAGGTGGTTGGAGTCAGGATGTGACTCGAAAGACAAGCAGAAAGGTGGCTGGTGTGAGATGGGACCCAAAGAGCATGAAGGAGTCAGAGGACAGGCCTGCCGCTCTTCCCCACCTATCCGGCCCTCCTCAAGACCCTCTATCCTGGATGTGGAGCTGTGGCTCCCTAGCGGTGGGGCAAGAGAGCCAGACCCTGAGTTCAAGCCTCAGTACTGGCACACATGTGCATATACACACGTGCGTGTGCACGCGCGCCTACAGCGCAGCCAACAGCTGGGTGCTAGTGGCTCATGCCTGAAATCCTAACTCTCAGAGGGCTGACATCTGAGGTTTGAAGCCAGCATGGGTAGGAATGTCCAATCACCACAAAAAGCTATAAAGAACTGTGGCTCTAGTAGTAGAGTGCCTGCCTTGAATGACAAAGCTAAGGGGCAGTGCTCAGGCCCTGAGTTGAAGCCCCACTACTACTGGCACAAAAAACAAAGTCTTTTAAAAGACCTAACAACAAGCCAGGCACTGGTGGCTCACGCCTGTAATCCTAGCTACTCAGGAGGCTGAGATTTGAGGATCATGGTTCAAATCCAGCCCAGGCAGGAAAGTCTGCGAGACTCTTATCTCCAATAAACCACTCAGAAAACTGGAAGTGGCGCTGTGGCTCAAGTGGTAAAGCACTAGTCTTGAGCTGAAAAGCTGAGGGATATTGCTCAGGCCCAGAGTTCAAGCCCCATGACCGACAAAAAAAACAAAAACAAAAAACCAAACAAACCAAAAACCTAACAACAGACTCAAACCTCAAAAACGACTGGGACAATTTGGTCAGGAGAAAGGCAGAGGACTTTCAGGAGGGGAAGCTGAAGCTACCAAGGTTTGGAGGCTGGTGTTTTATGTTTTTTGGGTTTTTTTTTTTTGGTTTTTGTTCTGCCAGTCCTGGGGCTTGAACTCAGGGCTGAGCACTGTCCGATAGCTTCTTTTGCTCAAGGCTAGTACTCTAGCACTTGAGCCACAGCACCACTTTCAGCTTTTTCTGTTTATGGGGTATTGGGGAACCAAACTGGGGCTTCATTCATGCTAGGCAAGCATTCTACCACTGAGCCTCATTCCTAGTCCAGTTGGGTTATTTATTTATTTTTTATTTTTTTGGGGAGGTCCAGTCGTGGGGCCTGAACTCTGGGCCTTGGCGCTGTCCCTCAGCTCTTCAGCTCAAGGCTAGCACTCTACTACTTGAGCCACAGGACCACTTCTGGATTTTTTCTTTTTTGCTTATGTGGTGCTGAGGAATCAAACCCAGGGCCTCATGCATACAAGGCAAGCGCTCTACCATTGAACCACCTTCCCAGCACGGTTTTTTTTTTAGATGATGTCATGCTATGTAGCCCAGGCTGGTCACAAAGTTGTAATCCTCCTACCTCAGCTTCCTGAGTGTTTGGATTGAAGGCTGTGTGTGTGTGTGTGTGTGTGTGTGTGCGCACACACACACACACACACCCATGTGCCAGTACTGGAGCTTTACCTCAGAGCCTGGGCACTATCCATTAACTTCTTCATTCAAGTTCAGAGGCCAGGACTGCTCCCTCAATTTTTTTGTTTTCTTTAAAAAGAAAAAGATGCCTCCAGCTAGACACTAGTAGGCTCATATATGTAAACCTAGCTTCTCAGGAGGCTGAGGTCTGAGGATCACAGTTTGAAGCCAGCATGGGCAGGACAGTCCATGAGATTCATCTCCAATTAATCAGCAAAAAGCCACAAATGGAGCTGTGTCTCAAGTGGTCAACACCAGCCTTGAGCACAAATGCTAAGAGATAGCTAGGGCTCAGGCCCTGAATCCAAACCCAGTACTGGTATCACACACAGAGGGACTATGGCTCTAGCCTCTCGGCCTAAGAAGTCTGTGGACTATTCACTTCTTACTTTTTATGGTGTCCATGATGTGGCGCTGCTGGAGGTTGGTCAGCTGGGATTCCTTCATCATCACTGCAAAATAAAGCCCTTCTGTGAAGCCTCCTGGGCTGCAGCACACAGGTGTCAATACTCACCTAAAATAAGTGTTCGCGGGATCAGACCCAGGGCTGTGCATATGCTAAGCATGGGCTTTTCCCTTGAGTTACACCCAGCAGCAGTTTAATCCTGGACCTTCACATGCCTACAGTTCCCCCCCACCCTCCCGCCCGTTGTTGGTTTTTTTTTTTTTTTTTGCTAGTCCTGAGGCTTGAACTCAGGGCCGAGGCACTGTCCCTGAGCTTCTTTTGCCCAAGGCTAGCGCTCTACCACTTGAGCCACAGCACCACCTCCAACTTTTTCAGTTTATGTGGTACTGAGGAATGGAACCCAGGGCTTCATACATACTAGACAAGCAGCCTGCCACTAAGCCACATTCCTAGCCCCACAGTCTCTTTTGTGTAGTAAAAGTGATAGGAAAGTTTACTAGGAGAGGAATATATTACCAGTAGACTGAAAGTAGGTTGGAAAAAAAATCATAATAATTTTTTACCCCAGTACAAGTTTCTGCTCAGGGTTAGATGTTGAATTTTATTTGTGTGTGTGTGTGTGTGTGTGTGTGTGTGTGTGTGTGTGTGTGTATGTGTGTGTGTGTGTGTATACTGGGGCTTGAACTCAAGGCCTTGCATTTTCACTCAGCTTTTTTTTTTTTTTTTTTTTAAGCTGGCACTGTACTACCTCTAGTATCCAGCACACATTTTTATTGAAGTGAAGGGGTTTCGAATGTCCCTCCTCAGAACCAGCTCATGGAAAAGAGTCACTGTCCCAAGGTTGGGGAGGTTTACAGAATTACATTTTCACTTCTAAGGTCTGCTTTTCTGAAGTATGATCTTCCTATTTCAGGTTCCTGAATAGCTGGATGGCAAGTATATATTCCCATAACTAGCTTTATTAGTTGAGATGGTCTCATGAGCTTATTTGTCTAGCTTCAAACTTTGATTCTTCCTATCTCTGCCTCCCAAAGAGCCAGAATTATAGGCATGAATCACCATACCTGGCTCTGTGTGTGTGTGTGTTAGTATATTGGGGCTTGAACTCTGGGCCTGGGCTCTGTTCCTGGGCTCTCCAGCTCAAGGCGAGAACTCTACCACTTGAGCCACAGCGCCACTTCCAGTTTTCTGGTGGTTAATTGGAGATAAGAGTCTCATGGACTTCCCTGTCTGGGCTGGCTTTGAAATGCAACTCTCAGATCTCAGCCTCCTGACTAGCTAGGATGACAGGCACCCAGCTTGGCTGGTTTTTTAAAAATTGTACTTTTATTATCTTTAAGTAGTTGTAAAAAGGGGTTACAATAAATGTCAGTTTATGAGCACAATGTGTCTTGATCAATATCCATTTCCTGAACTTTTTCTGATTATGGCTGGTGCTCTACTATTTGGGCCATACCTCCACTCCACTTAGGAGTTGGTGGTGAATTGGTGATAAGAGTCTCAGACATGGGGCTGAGAAGGTGCTCAGTGGTAGAGCGCTTGCCTTGCATGCATGAGGCCCTGGGTTCGATTCCTCAGCACCACGTAAGCAAAAAGAAAAAAGCCGGAAGTGGCGCTGTGGCTCAAGTGGTAGAGCGCTAGCCTTGAGCTGAAGAGCTGAGGGACAGTGCCCAGGCCCAGAGTTCAGGCCCCATGACTGGACTCCTCCCCCCCCCCCCCCAAAAAAAAAAGAGTCTCAGACTTTTCTGACCAGGGCTGGCTTTGGACTGTGATTCTCACATCTCAGCCTCCTGAGTAGCTAGGATTACAAAGTGTGAACCACCTGCACTTAACAAGTTCTTTGACTTGTACCCTCAAAAGAAGGTAGCACCCTAAACCTTTCTGAACTCCGCATGTTTTTTGTTTTTTTTTAAGTCGTGGGGCCTGAACTCTGGGCCTGGGCATCATCCCTGAGCTCTTCAGTTCAAGGTGAGCGCTCTACCACTTGAGCCACAGCGCCACTTCCGACTTTTTCTGGTGCTGAGGAATCAAACCCAGGGCTTCATGCATGCAAGGCAAGCGCTCTACCACTGAGCCACCTTCCCAGCCAGAACCCCACGTTTTTTTTTTTTTACCTGGAGAACATAGCGAGGGCTAAGCCGCTCACCACCGCGCCCCGCCTCGGCCCTCCAAGGCAGGGAGTACCGAGTGACGGGGGTAACCACCACCGCCGCGCCCCGCCTCGGCCCTCCAAGGCAGGGAGTACCGAGTGACGGGGGTAACCACCACCGCCGCGCCCCGCCTCGGCCCTCCAAGGCAGGGAGTACCGAGTGACGGGGGTAACCACCACCGCCGCGCCCCGCCTCGGCCCTCCAAGGCAGGCTACCTCGGAGCAGCTCGCAGGTCTCCGGGGTGTACGTGGCGCTCTTGGGGGCGTGCCAGAGTCTCGGCCCTTTGTCCGCGGTCTCCGTCCTCTCCTGCGAAGCCATGGGCGGGTCCTGGGGGGGGGGGGAGACGCAAGGAGACACCCTGCCCTCGCCCTGGCCTCGCCCTCCCCACCCGGGCCCCCTCGCCGCCCCCCGCCCCCCGGCGAGAGTGGGGTCGGGCGGAGGGAGTGAGGGCGGGGAAGGGGCGCAGCGCCCGGCCCTGCTTCCCCGACTCGGGCAGACCGTGGTTCCGTCTGTGGCAGGTAAGACGCCTCTAGAGGAAGAGCGCCGGGTCACAGGCGAGCCCACCGAGTAAATACACCCACGTGTTAAAGCCTCACGCGGGGCTGAGTCGGGTGAGACCGCTCCTGGGTGTCCCCCTCCTGCACACAGCGGCACCGGGTGGAAGCCCAGACCAAATCCCAGGGGATCCGGGAGAGCCGCGTCCAGGTTCCCATGGTAACCGGCACTCGCCGCCAGGCGCATGCGTAGACCGTCTGCGCTGTCCTCCCGGAAGTGATTTCCGTTGGGTCACGGCGCAGGCGCAGGATACGCGTGGTTGCTGCGCGAGGCGGCGGCGCGCTGGGCGCGGGTCTGCGCGCGGGATTCGGGCGCCGAGCCGGGCGCTCTGACAGGAACGTCATGTCAGACAACGAGGACAAGTGGGTGCCCGGAGCGGGCCGTGCTTTCCGGGGGCGGGCGGCGTTTGCGGGAGCTTGGGAAGGGGGCGGCTGAGGCGGGGCGTGGAAGGGCGGCCTAGGAGCCTGGCGTGGCGGGGCGGGTGCGAGGAAACCCGGGTGCGAGGGGCGGAGAGCGAGGAGCCGAGCGGAGAGCGAGGAGCCGGGAGCGTAGGCCGGGCAGGGGCTCGGCGCGGAAGGCCCCGGATGGAGGTCCGGAGTCTCCCCATGGGAAAGAAGCACAAGAGGTGTCGGGGTCCAGCCACCCCCTGGCCGGCTCGCTACGCGGCCCCGGGGCACCGCAAGGCGGCGAGAGCCTTTGCGCCCAGGCCGTCACTTCGGGGAAGAGGGGGCAGGCCCATCGGCAGAAATAGTGCCGTGGCAGCCCACCTGTTGGTGGAAGTGCGGCCATCCAGAGCATGGCCTGCAGAGGAGAGAACATCGGGGTTTGGATGTAGGCTGAGAGCTTGGAGCAGGTGAGAAGTGGGCTTGAATTCTGGATTTATATATACATACATATATATATATATATATATATATATATATATATATATATATATATATATATATATATATATATATGGTGGTATTCGGAAGTGGTGCTGTGGCTCAAGTGGTAAAGCAACAGCCTTGAGCAAAAAATTCTCAGGGACAGCACCCAGGCCCTGAGTTCAAGTTCCAGCACTGGCACACATAAAACAAGATTATTGAGGTACTGGTGCTCGAACTCAGGGCCTGGGTGGTAGCCCTTAGCCATTTCTACTCAAGGCTGACACTCTTAACCACTTGAGCCACAGCTCTTCCTCCAGCTTGTTGCTGGTTAATTAGAGATAAGAGTCTCATCATCTTTTCTGCCTGTTTTGGCTTCCAACCTCAGTCCTCAGATCTCAGCCTCCCCAGTAACTAGGATTACGGGCATGAGACACTAGAGCCCTGCTAGTACTGGGGTTTGAACTCAGGGCTTCCTACTTGCAAAGCTGGAGCTGGGCCATTTGAGCCACTCCTTGAGTCCCGGATATATTTTAAAAGGACAGGCAAAAGGATTTTTCTTTTTGCTGATCCTAGGGCTTGAAATCTGTGCCTGGGCACTTTTCCTGACCTTTATTGCTCAAGCCTAGTGCTATACCACTTGAATTCCAGTTCCACTTCCAGGTTTTTTGGTAGATTTAATGGATATAAGAGTCCTATGGGCTTTCTTGCCCGGCTGCCTTCTAAACATGATCCTCAGATAGTCTCCTGAGCAGCTAGGATTATAGGTATGAGCCACTTTCCCGACAGCAAAAGGATTTCATTTCTTTCCTTCCTTCATCATCCCTTTCATTTCTTTTTCTTTTTTGGTTGGTGGTGGGGCTTGAACTTGGGGGATGGGTGCTGTTCCTGAGCTCTTTTGCTTAAGGTTGGCACTTTACCACTTTGAGCTACAGTGACACTTCTGATGGTTGATTGGAGATGGTCTTACAGATGGAGCTGGGAAGGTGGCTCAGTGGTTGAGGTTTGCCTTGCATGCATGAGACCCTGGGTTCGATTCCTCAACACCACATAAGCAGAAAAAGCTGAAGTGGTGCTGTGGCTCAAATGATAAGAGTGCTAGCCTTGAGCTGAAATGCTGAGGGATAGTACCCAAGCCCAGAGTTCAGGCCCCATGACCGGCCCCCCCCCCCCCAAAAAAAAAAAAAGTCTTACAGATTTTCCTTCCTCAGCTGGCTTTGAACTGTGATCCTCAGCTCTCAGTCTCCGAAGTAGCTAGGATTACAGGCGTGAGCCACCAGCTCCCGTGCCCCGCTCCTTTCATTTCTTCTACTTCCTCTTCTTCCTACTCCTCTTCTGTTTGGACCCAGGTTTCCAACCTACAAGGCAAGCAGCAAGCACTCTACCACTTGAGTCTTTTTCTTGTTGGTGTATTTTTTTAAATATAATTTTGTTATTTTTAAGGTATTGTATAGAGGGCTCTTTCCTATTTTTAGAAGCTATATATAGCCCAAGCTGGCCTGGAATTCTGAATTTCCCAGCCTCATCCTCACCAGGAATACTGAGATGACAGGCATGTACCATTTACAAAAGGATTCCCCTCCCTTGTATTTATCTGTATTTATGAGTGTACATTAATAGCACAAGGAGCCTTTAGTGTGCTAATTGCATAGATATTTCATAATGTACATTGATCAACTTCCTCCTCCACTATTTTATTCCCTTAATCCCTTGAAAATATTTTTTCAGGGATTGTACCTCTGTGGTCTGAAGATAAAAATTTGGGAGTCATGGGCTGGGAAGTTGGCTCAGTGGTAGAGCGCTTGCTTTGCATGCCTGAGGCCCTGGGTTCGATTCCTCAGCATCACATAAGCAGAAAAAAGAGCTGGAAGTGGCATTGTGGCTCAAGTGGTAGAGCGCTAGCCTTGAGCTGAAGAGCTGAGGGTCAGCGCCTAGGCCCAGAGTTCAGGTCCCACGACCGGACCCCCCCCCCCAAAAAAAATTGGGGAGTCATCAGCATAAATATATTAGGACTAAGAAACTGTGTGGATGGAGACCATTAACTTCAAGAGTGGTTTTGATGGAGGGTGCAGTCTTGTGAGATTGTGACTGATTGGGAAGAGAGGAATTGGACATAGTGAAGTTGGAAAGCTTCACAGATTTTACTCCAGAGGGAACACAGTGTTAGTATTACGGGAGAAGGTTGTTTGGAGTTTTGGTGCTGGAGATTGAACCCAGGGCCTCACACATACTAAGCATTTGCTTTACCACTGAGCCACACTTCCAGCCCTGAAGGTTTTTGTTTTTTGAGACAAGATTTCACTGTGTAACTAAATCAGGATCCTCCTACATCTGTAATCCAGCCAAAGTGGGGAGGCTGAGGCTAGAGGGTCATGAATTCAAAGCTAGCCCTGGCCAAAAAAAAGGTCTCAAAACCAAAACTAAGATGGGTGCTGGTTGCTCATGCCTATAATCCTAGCTACTCAGGAGGCTGAGATTTGAGGATTGTGGATCACAGCCAGCAGCCAGCCCAGGCAGAAAAGGCCATAAGACTATCTCCACTTAATCACCAGAGAACCAGAAGTGGTGCTGTGGCTCAAAGTGGTCAAGTGCTAGCCTTGAAAAAAAAAAGCTCAGAGACAGCACCCAGACCCTGAGTTCAAGCCCTATGACCAGCAACAATAACAAAAAAAAAAATGTCTGAAGATGTTGCTTAATTGATATAGCACTTGCACTTGGCATTACAAAAAAAAGGAAAAAGATGGCAGAAGAACTGCATGCTTAAGTGCAGACTGGAATAATTCAATATGAAGTAGTAATGATAGACAAATTCTAGCAAAATTGGAGGGCAGTTGGGTTAAGTTTGAAGGAGTAAAATGAAAGCAAAGGTTGAGTCACTCCTTAAGTATAGGTTTACTGAGTTCTAGTGCCTCCTTACATCTGAGACAGATTTTTGTCTCTTGATTCTGGAAAGTGATCTGTGACTAACCATCCCATCTCTTTCTGTATAGCTTTGATGGTGATGACTTTGATGACGTTGAAGAGGATGAAGGGCTAGATGACTTGGAGAATGCTGAGGAGGTCAGTATTTAGCTGTAGGCTTCTTCCTACCTCTGCAGCCTAGCTGCTGAGTATGAGCTAGGTGATTATTACCCATATGTTTTTCACTCTAGTTTGTGTTCCTAGACCCTGACATAGCATCCCAGTAGAAGTGAGTAGTGTTCCAGTCCTGACAGCCCTGCAGGATGTGCCATTAATTCACTTGGTCCACAGCCCATGACTTCTGGGGCAATTATGGTTTTTTTTTTTGAAGATAAAACATGACCTTTATTCTTTTTTTTTGTCGGTAGTGGGGCCTGAACTCTGGGCCTAAGTGCTGTCCCTTAGCTCTTCAGCTCAAGCTAGCACTCTACCACTTGAGCCACAGCACCCCTTTGACTTTTCTGCTTATGTGGTGCTGAGGAATGGAACCCAGGGCCTCATGCATGCAAGGCAAGCACCTACCACTGAGCCACCTTCCTAGCCCCACATTACCTTTATTCTTTCAGCAAATGTGGTCAGTGTTAATACCTGCCTGGTACATTTCTTTTCTTTTTTTTTTTGTCGGTCGTGGGGCTTGAACTCTGGGCCTGGGCGCTGTACCTCAGCTCTTCAGCTCAAGGCGAGCGCTCTACCACTTGAGCTACAGTGCCACTTCCAGTTTTCTGGTGGATTATTGGAGATGAGTCTCACAGTCTCTCCTGCCCGGGCTGGCTTTGAACTGTGATCCTCAGATCTCAGCCTCCTGAGTAGCTAGGATTACAGGCGTGAGCCACCAGCGCCCGGCTGCCTGGTACATTTCTTTGGGGATGAGTGCAGGGAGAATAGCCTGCTAAAGCTTAGAAATAATCAGGGCCTGGGTCAGGCAGGAATTTTTTCCCCTCTGACAAACTGGGGTTTGAACTCAGGATTGTTAAGCTTTCTACTTAGGTGTTTTACTGCTTGAGCCACTTTGTCAGCTCTCTTTGCATTGGGTATTTTTGAGATAGGGCCTTGCCTGTACTGTGACCCTCCTATTTATGTTTCCCAGAATAGGTAGTATGAAAGGTGGGTACCACCACATCCAACCATTGGTTGAAATGGAGCCTCCTAAATTTTGTCTGGGCTGTCCTTGGTTGAAATGGAGCCTCCTAAATTTTGTCTGGGCTGTCCTTGAACAGGGATTCGCCAATCTCCATCTCCCAGGTATCTAGGATTACAGCTTGAGCCACCTTGCTGTCAAGCGTAC